CCAGGTGCTTTTGTCTAACCCAGATCTGGATCTCCTGGGGAAGGGACAGGCAGGAACTGTTCTTTCATACACTTCTCTGGTCTCAGCCGCTGATGACAGAGCTTCCAGAGTTGGATGAGGGCCTCCTGGGGTTCTGATGCTTCTTGATAGTGGAAGTGCCAAAAGTGCTGGCAGGAGGTCCCTGGTCCAGGGACAGTCCCAGAGGGACTGTCTTGCTCCCAGTGGGAATTTTCTTCTAGCTTCATTATTTGAAGTTCTTCTTGTACTTGAGGAATCCGGATTCGTTGGTCCACAGCTACAGCCATTGTTCATATCAGAGAAGAACCCTGCAGCTGTGCTCTTAAGTTCAAACCTCTTCCTTTACCTCACTGGGGAACCACCTTCAGATAGGAGTGTAAGTAGAACTTGAAATTCTAGAGCCACAGGCAGACATTACAGAGTGAACTCCAGTGAAAATCACAAGGGGCACCCCACCTGTATTGAAGTGAAGAAAAGTGCCTTCCTGTTCCCCCTTCCCATGTCCCGATACCCACGGAATCTGGCCACCTGTCACTGGGGGAGGGGTGTAAGATGGGGGGCATGCAGCTCCAGAAGTTTGACAAGAGGGGACAAGGGCTGGTGAGCTGGTTAGAAAGTAGTGGAGCTTGAAGCTGTGTTTGCATAGCCATTTACTTAACGCTGAGAAAATGCCAATTATCCATACTGAAGAATGAGGATGGGCTAATGGAGGTAATGGGGACAATAAACCACCCAGTCTTCCAAGCCACTGGTCCTCAGAGTGTTGCAAAGTACATGCAGTACAAGAACGAGCCAGCGCTCAAGGTCGCAGCACCTTGGAGAGCAGCGCCTGGGTGGAGCCCGCTCGAAACTTCAGAGAAACGATTGCTCCCATCGCTCAACTGTCCTCGCCTCTGGCTGGGTTCTCAGCTTTGGGCGAGCCCTCTCAGGATTCCTCAGCCCTGGCACGATAACTCTCTCCCAAACAGGGAGATTTACCCTGGTTAAGGTTACAAGATTTAAGAGGAAGGATAATAAAGCAACAGACTCACAGGACGTTACAGCTGGAAGGAAAGCTAAGTAAGAGATACTGAGGCTTCAGCTCCCTCAAAGCTGAGGCAATCATGGTTCCCCCAAGACCTTGCCCAAGGTCACAGGCTGGCAGGAATTGGGCAGTGGCTCAGCCTGGTGACGGTGGACTGGGTGACTGGCCCGTAGAGCGTGACTTACACTGGAAGGCTACTCTGCTCCGCGGGCGACCTTCTCGGAAACATCATGGGGTAAACGCGGACCGTGGGGACGGGGTCGCCTCGGCGGCTACGGGGCCAAGTTCGTCCCCGCCGGACCCGGTGGGCAGCAAAG